CAACTGTGTTAAATCATTTTCATTTATTCAGAAGCCGCAGCGCTGCGCACCGTGCACCCCCCAATTTAAGAACAAATCTGTGCGTACGAACGGTTCTTGCATGAGGCCCAATGTCTTGTAAATCTGTTCACGGTTAATGTCCCTATATTTATTTATTTTTTTCTTTTGTTTGTGTGTGACTTGTTATACCGTAGCTGCTTGGCATAATTCTGCTCTATCTCCAGTCTTTCCTTGACAAACTTTCCATAGCGCTCCAGAAAGTCGATCCCCCACTGAGTGTGTTTGTCCAGGTTTTCAAACTGGTCCTGCAGAAAAGAAAGAAAAAAACAAACAAACACATTTTAGACACATTAAATACAAAATATTCTACCTTCAACTGAAGAGTGGCGTTTGTTTTGTCGTCAAACTAGATTAAAAGACATTCAGCTGATACAGAATGAAAAAACACTAATCTGTATGTGTGACATATAAAAGCAAACACAAAGAACACAGATTGGTGTGACGGGAGGCATTTTCCTCCTGGATGGAACGATAAAAACTTTAATTTCAGGGCGATTTGCAGAGAAACAAACCAGGCTAACAAAATGAGACCCTACAGGGTCAGAAAGTTACCGAATCACCTGAGCTAAAATGTATTTTAAAGGGGCAATATCATGTAAAATCAACTTTTTGAGTTTTATATCATGTTATAATGTTATACTCTAAAAAAAAAAACATGTCCAAAGCCTTGCTCTGACTCATTTATGCGTGTTTGAGAAATCCTGCAGTGTTTTTAGGAAGCCATGCTGAGGAGCAAAACGACAGGTGGGGACCAGAAACACCTTTTGGGACCAGAAACACCTTTTGGTACCAGAAATGCCCCTGGGACGTGTCTTTAAGCTGAACTTCCTCATGGCAGAGCCCACTTCTCCACCCGCCACCCCACACACCCCGCCCATGACTCCTGCAGGCTCTCAGGTGAAAGTGAAAGTGAAACTTAAACTGTCTGCTGTGCTCTTAACACCACTGCTCACTCAGTGAAGCTCTTTTCAGATTAAAAATACCTTTGAGGAAATGTGTTTTCAGATGCCAAGTAAACTGCATCATGGCTGCCCCCCCCGCCACCCTCTGCGAGCGCGAGGGTGGCCTGCTGTGAAGATACGTTATGGTGCTTTGCATAAAGGGTCACACTTGCCTCTTCCAAGAAATAAAGAAGGGTCAGGTTCTGCTCGGGTGCTTCTAAAACTCAGTTTCCAGCTGAGATCAAATCTGGATCTTTCCAGTTACGAACACGAAACAACCTAGCTCTCGATTTTAATCAGGCTTTGTTTTTCYTTTTTTTTTATTTGGAGTTTAGAAACACAAATCCAAGGGCACACGGACACAAACAACACATTCAGGTAGAGGTGGGCCCGTAACAGTGGTAACTTCTTATTAAAAAGACATGAGTCTGTATATGATATTTAAACAGCCTTTACATGTATGTTGACACAAACCAAGACCTGGAGAAATAAGAATGACAAAAGCAGATGCAAGAAAATGGAGAACAGCTGTGTTTGCCCAGTTACTGCTMAACACAAACATAACAAGAAGAGTCTCATTCCTGCTATACATCATTGCCTTTTTAAGCTCTTTTTGACTTTTCAGTGTCTGGAAAAATACAGGAAAAACAAACTTGTTGGTAGATGTTAGGTAAGGRCCTGAGATCATTGCCTCAATCTGTTTGTTTACCTTCCTTGGCAAGATGCTGACTTAGACTTTATTGAAGTTTGGTATTTTGTTCAAGCTTTGCTTTTATTACTTGGGCATTAAAGTAACAAAGTGAGCAACTGTGGAAAAGCGTGCGCTATTAGTACTAGATATCATTCGAAGTATTTAATGGTCAGATTTTGTCCAGTGGCAAGCATCAGACATACACACCCATACAAACACTTTTATTGTCAATAAACCATCATAAGACACCATTTAAACTGATAAGCTATTTATTTGGATGTCCGGTGCASTTTTACTACTGCAATGTTTATTTGACCACTGCCCACTGAGGTCCACTAAAAGTGTACTCGAATTTGTAACGCTGGATCATATTTCCACTAGAAACTGCAGGCGAAAACTGATCTAAATCAACAACGGAAAACAAGCAGTTCTGCTGCCAGAAGCAGCCATTTGTTGAGGAATATGCTGAGAACAACAGGACCTTGGCACGCCTAAACTGTGGAGCAATAAAACATGGAGCCATAGTTGGTCAATAAGAACCCAGTGTCAGTTTCCAGTGATGTGTGGATYGATGAAGTATGGATACCACTGATACCAGAACTTTATGCTCTAGTGCAGAGGTTCTTAAACTGGGGTCTGCAAACTATATATTGGGGGTCCTAAAAAAAATTCAATAAATTGTTAATTGTACCATTTCATTTACGGTATGGTATGGTATGGTATGGTATGGTATGGTATGGTATGGTATGGCATATGGGGAATGATGCACTAGTAAAACAGACACACTAAACCAAATAAAAACCATCTTTCTCATGGAATTCAGGGGTCAAAATGACAGTAAATTATTTTTAAAACAGCACGGGGTTTATGAGGGGGTCCCTGGAAATTTTTCACCCTTGTAAGGGGTCGCCAGTCCCAAAAAGTTACGGAACCCCTGCTCTAGTGCACCGATATGAAAATTTCTGCCAATATTGATCTCCAATATTATTATTAGTGTTATATTCCACAAACACACACTTTATTTATATATAAACTATTTATTTATATATATAAACACAAATACACTTCTATCTTTTTAGGATAGCGTACAAAAAAATGACCAGACCGCTGACATGGCTCTCTAGTTCAKTTATTCCTGGATGAGCAGTGTCACTATCACKATCACAATCAAACAGATACCACTCGACCAACCATTTCCCTCCCAAAACAGAAACACTAAACTAAAAACTGGGAAATCAATATCAGAGGTTAATATCAGCCCAGTTTTACTTATTGGATACCAATATTACTTACCGATACCAATATTCTAAAAAATTACCAATATCGTCCGATACCGATGTTAATGCGGATATATTGTGCATCCCTAATCAAAATATTGCTACTTCATTCATTTTAGGTAATATATATCATTAACAGGAACTCAATAGAAAGTAACTAAACTACTGAAATCTTGGTATCAGAATCAGAAAGGRAACTGGTGATATCCAACATTACTACATTTCCTTCAAGTTCAAGTTTAAGTTCAAATTTATTTACATAGGACCAAGTCACAACATACGTTGTCTCAGGGCACTGTACATAAAAAGAACAATCTAAAGAAGAAGCCAGCAGATTGTGTTGAATCACTTCATCACAGTCTCCCATCCTGAGCAAACGGTGGAGAGGAAAAACTCCCTGCTAATCAGGAAGAAACCTCCAGCAGAACCAGGCTCGGGACAGGAGACCATCTGCCTCGACCGGCTGGTTGAAGGACAGGAAAGAGACACAGACAAACAAAGAAGACCTTCATTGAGACGTGCCTTAAAAAATATAAAAATAACAAAGATTTCATTCAAATATGTGCCACTGAGACATTAAAGAACAAAGAGCTGATCTCCAAAGTGTTACACAGAGTCATTAGGGGTTAACTGCATCCTGCTCGTCTTGATGCCTGCAGGCTCCTCTCACTAGCCTCTCCAGCATGCATGCCTTTTTTCTCCCTTTTTTAGCAGCATTTCTGATTGCGTCAGTCTGTGCGACGGAGTGAGTCTATGAATAAGTAATAAGAGTATGAGCTCACTTGCTAGTTTGTGGCAAGCTGAGCAGACTGGCTCACCGGGGAAATGACAACATCTTTTGGTTCCGGTTCTCAGATCTGCGGGGAAAAAACGTGGACTGAGGAGCATGGCTGCCTAAATTTGGATTGGGAACTATCATTTGTCTGTATAGCAACCCAGACGGCCACAAAAAGTGAATGAAGCAGACTTCACCAAGAAAACAACGTCAAGACCAATCAAACAGCCACACCAAAGCCACTCAAATAGCCAGACAGAAYGCAAGCATTCCTCAATAAGAACCAAGATAATTAGCAGCAAAAATGCTGCTAAAACAACAGGCTAATTACACACCGTGGACCTAACACAGCAGAATGCTAACACACTTGCACAGCGATGCACACATGGCAGACACAGGGTGGGAAACGTCAACTTGTCTGAAACACTGGCATCGCTATGCAACCCCCCCAGGCCCTGTCTGCACTGTGTGTGTGTTTGTTTCATCTTCCTCTAAGGAAACAACCCCCTCCTGTACACAGAAAGCACAACTCTGTGTGGTAGGGAGCTGTCATGGGATGTGTGTTTTTGTGTGCTGGAAGCAAAAAAAAGGAGAGAGGTAGGAGGAGTTAATTCTAGGAGGGGAGGTAGGAAAAACAAGAGGAAGCTAWGAAGAACATTAGACCTGAACAGACATGCTAAACAAGTCACATTGTGTAGATTTATTTCAAATTCTTAAACTCTTTTGATGATATAAGAAGGTAATCACTTCGACTTTATACTCTTGTATATTAGACACAAATGTGCTCCTTCACTTTGCCTTTGGAGAGCATCTGGAGTTGAAACCGTTTGGATTTGTTACAATAAGGTCAGCGTTTTGAAAACTGTCCAACTACCATCTAAGGGCAAAACAAACAGGAGGCGTGCTGAAAKCTCCTTTACTGCACTGCAGGCAGGGCCAGCACGGCCCGGCTTCTCCTGCTTTACTAATTTTACCTCTACTTGTTTTATTTCATTTAGTGGGTAAAGAGTCCCCAGAGAGCAATCACAAAAAGCTTTTCCCCATCCCATTAGTCTAAATCTGTGTTTGGGCATTTTAGAAATGCCTCACAAACAAAAACACTCGGCRTCATTTCACCTCCCAAATCAGGCTTCAAACACAAAAATGTTTTAACGGGTCTGTCCTGAATATTTGCTTATTGTCTCTTTATGTATCTTATAGCTCAAATGTTGTTAAGCGACAATTTTATAGCGGTTAGACGAAACAACAGTCAGCCTCAAACGACCCACATTTCTAGCAGTGTTGTAACTGAATTACTTCTGTCTGAATTAGTTGTTTACTCTGTTTTATCTCCACCCCGTGAGCACACACRCCCATTCAGCTGGAAAATGTTTGATTCGTATTGAAGAATCTTTTAATCTGTTTCTCTGCCTTTTTTTAAACCTGTGGAACCAGAAACCACTGCAAGAAATAACAAGCGCACAAATCTGACTCACCACACAAACCATGTGACTCAAAGCAGGTCTAAATACAGATAAATGAGAATGAATGAGGAGTTATGTTTAGATCCATTAAAATATAA